TCAAGTCTTTTATGCATATATGGATCTTCTATATATAAATGTGTGTTGCTTTGTTTTACCATATTTAGCAGAAAGCTTAAGTATTTATATATAAAAATCTTCTTGCAAACTTTTCATATATTTTTAAGCTTTTAAATTTAATGGAAATGGTACAGTAATATTTTTTTACAATTTTCTTTAACGGAGCAAACATACTGATAATATATAAACAATTTTTGTAACAAATAAATATTTACACTGACAGCTCGAGATCTTTACTTTGAAATTTTTAAATCATTTTTGTAATATATTGAGCAAATGCTCTAATTGATTTACACCTATTTTTATTATGTAAAAGCATTTGTAATTCTATGCAACCAATACGATATATGTAAACTTTCTAAAAGAAGGTAGAATTTTATCGGTAAAGTTTTCAAATATGGTGTCCTTCAAAAATCAAAATGTATTTGTATTAATCTCCATAATGTATTCAACTGTATATTTTATGTATAAAACGATCAAATAGAATCTTGAGGAGGAGCACTCAATGCGTTCAAAACCAAAAATGGTTACTCTGACTCTTAATCTTACAAACTTATATCTATAATATATGTCCTTTAATATGTTCTATAATATCCTATAATATGTGTTATTATATTTTAAAAGTCTTCTGAATTATTTTCCTTGCAATTTATACTAATAAACTGCATTATATAGAATTACAAGTATAAATTTTTCAGGTGAACAAGGTTATGTTAATTGGAGGGAAACATAAAAAGAATTTTATTAGAAGAAGTTTGAGGGCTACATTTTCTGATGACTTAGCCTCCATGTGTTCATGAACTGGCCAAAAAAATAATTATAAAATTGGAGATACGCACACATACAATTCTGAGCATTAAAAGTAAGTAATTTTTTAAGAAATGTATATATTACTTGCAGTATTAAATGCTATGTTTTATGTCTCAAAATTTATTAAAATTGTCTCCTTATTTTTTGTAGCAATCATCGTTAAAAAGCAGGACACACATACACGTTAAAAATTCTTACGAAATAAAAAAAAAATATATATATCCATAAACTAATATTTTTGATCGATTTAGTATATATGTAAACTATTCCGGAAACTTTTGTGTTATTTCAATAATTATCATAAGTTTTAATTGCCGTTAAATTAACATTATTTATTTCTTTCATCTAACAATAAACTGTATTGAATTTTTTTTATTTCAGAAGCTTTTAGAGCAATATTTCCTCGGAATACAGAAAAAGATTTTCAACACTTTGTAATGGAGTGGTTCAGATTCGCAAACGTCCGTAAGGAAAAAAAAACATTAAAAAGGTAATGTAATGTATTTCGGTATATACTCTCTATAAAATAAAATTATTATAGTTTGCCGCGTTATAATTTATAAGTAGCTTTTTCACTAATTTAATTCTACTTTTATTTTTCAGGAAGTGATAAATATATTATCTTACTTGCGTGGCTCCGCGCGAGTGATTATTATAGTAACAAATTTTTTTATTTGAAAGATGAGTTTTATCCCAAAACCTTACGCTAGGATCAGTGATCTTCACCAAAGATATTATTGTGATAAACTGAAAACTGTAATATATGGTATATATTATTTTTATATAAATAAAACTTTTTTATGATAATTAGTGAATTATTCCCTAATGCAGATTGGTATATAACAGGCCTGGGCAACTTCGAGCTCCGGACCCACGACACTCCCCCACTTTCCGTGGATAGAAAAGAAGTGTCGTGGTTCTGGAGCTCAAAGTTGTCCAAGCCTGGTCTATAAAAAAGCAATCTAAATAATAATTAGACAATAAATATTGAGATATTTTATTACTATTGCATATTTATTGAAAACATGTTGCCTGTAATAGAAATAAAACATCAATAAAAACTTTAAATAAATGTTAGAATTAACATTACGGTAATCTTAATATAATATTGTAATAAAGTTGATAGTACGTTTAAATTTTTATCTCAAAAACATTACAGGAATGATAGAAAAACCTTAGCGCAATGTTATTTGCAACGTTATGGCACTCCCATTTCAACATTACTGAAATTTCGGAATCGTGGTCAAAGTATGTTCATAATGATGTTCTATACAACATTAAGAACTACATATTTAACAACATTACAAGTTCTAGAATATCGTTGCAATAACATTGTAATAATGGTTTTTTGCTTACTGGAATATCATTTCTGCCGTCAATCTTTTTTTATAATTATGCTCCACCTCTAAGACCTCCACATTGTCCCAGTCGAAAGCATGATTAAATTTGGTAATGTGTTCTGAAACTACCGAATGCTTGGACGCATCGAAATCACCATGTCTTTCCATCGTATCTTATACATATGTTCAGGAATAATTTGCGAGTATCTCACTACAAATCCGTGCGAAGAATCGAAAGGTTAGTGCACGTTCTCAGAACGGACAGTTTAAAAATCGAGATATTTGATTCTCACAAATGTTTGGATGACCTTAAAAGAAAGTTATTATCCTGTTCTCGTTTTCTTTATAATTGTTTACCTATAAATATTTGGCAACCGATTATTTCACATCACGCTAGAGCATTTGAAAATTTTAAATATAAATTAACATCCGTACACGAAAAGAAACTCGAGTGGTTGTTAGAATCGGAGAAAATTAAATTCTATAATAAAATTAAACCTATTGAATTCTCGTGCAATGATGCAGACATTGGAAGGGAGAAAATTAACAATATTAAATTTGATCTTTCTGATTCTGGTTTGGATATCAATATTTCCATTAAACCAATTCAATTTTTGAATAACTCTACTAATCCGCTAAATGTTGTTAACAACAAATGGTTCATGAATTTGTCTCATGTTAATATTCCCACCGAAATCTCATCGTTGTTACAGCTCGGTGATAATTTTAGTTTACCGTTTTCTATTAATAAGAAGAAAGCCATACATGAGTTTATTAAAGATTTGGAAAGTAATGGAAGTAAACATACGATTGACAACCAAATTAGAATTCGTAACGTGGCGATACCTCAGTTCTCCAGATTCTTACAAAAAAGACCACACACTACACCGATCGATCGTTGTCTCATTGCAAGGTATAATTACGCGATTCAATTCCAAAAAAACAACCCAGATGTTATCTTTACAAGGGCTGATAAAGGTAATGTCACTGTAGCATTAAACCAGAATGAGTACATTCAAAAAATGGAAATAATGCTTAGTGACAAAGATACCTATGTAGTGATTAAAAGAAATCCGTCAGCCAGAATTGAAAGAGAATTAAATGCGCTAATTAAAGAATGGTTGCAGAAAGAATATATCTCCAAGAAAGAATATTTCTTCTTACACTCTAGCGATTCTACACAATAATATAGACGATGATTCTGAACGTTCGCAAAAAGTGAAAAGTTTTATTGTTATGCCTTATTTAAAAGATACTTCTGAAATTATCATCTCAGCGGTCATCAAATCAGAGAATTCCGTGGGATACCGTATTCTAAACAAATTAAACAACATCATAAAAGTCCAGAAAGATAAGAGCGCTCAATCGTCGAAGAATAATGTTATTTATAAAATCTGTTGTAAGAATTGTGATGCCTCTTACGTCGGCCAAACCAAGAGGCAACTACGTACTAAAATAAAAGACCATCAAGCTAATATTAGATTAGATGCGTCCAAGCATTCGGTAGTTTCAGAACACATTACCAAATTTAATCATGCTTTCGACTGGGACAATGTGGAGGTCTTAGAGGTGGAGCATAATTATAAAAAAAGATTGACGGCAGAAATGATACACATCAAAGAGCAGCCTAACGGCATAAATTCAAACAAAGACACAGAATTATTAAACGAGGCTTATTTTGATGTGTTGCGGCTGTTGTCATAAATAAACATACTAATAACAATTATTACTGGTTGCTCTGCCCTTGCGATGCGAACGTTTTCTCGTCGTCTGCGATCTTTAGCTACGAACACCCGCTCCTGATTGACGATGGAAAGAATTCGCTTGCGTTCCGCTGCTCTGCCCTTGCGATGGGAATGTTTCCTCGGTCGTCTGCGATATTTAACTACGAACACTCGCTCCTAATTGACGATGGAAAGAATTCTCTTGCGTTCCTGTGGTACCGACCGCTTATGTAAGTCCACTTTTACGAGTCAAACTCAATTATTAAATTCGCGTGTTCCTACAAAATTTCAAAATTTGATCCAGTTGCCACTAAGAGGGTCTGGCGACAATGGCTTTCGTTCGCACCAACCTCAGGGACGCACGTAAGCATTGCAACGTAATGGACGACCGATTTAGCGTTAAATTTGACTAACATTCGACAATAAATCGTAGCGCCGGATTGTATCCGAGTCCTTTATTTGTATTCGACGTATTTATGAAATTGCGGTTCTGAGGAAAGCCAAGTATGGCCGAAACGTAAACCATTTTATTTGTAATTTGTAATTTGAATATATAAATTTTATACACTCATTATTGCTCGAAATTTGGCCTTTTTTAATTGTCTTTGCTATATATATATATATATATATACAGGGTGTCCGAAAAATCGCTTACTCCACTTCGGGAGGTGATTCGGGACCCAAAAACAAGCAAAAAAGTTCATACAAACATAGGTCCGGAAATGAGCCGTTTCCAAGTTATAGCCACTTTTATGTTCAAAAATCGTAAATTTTTATTTTCAATTTTTTTAAATTACAATTACCAAATTATCTCAAGTTTCTGTCTACATTTCGAAAAGACGCTATTCCCGGTACATCTCGATTTGGAAAAGACTGAATGTATAACTTTCTTGCCTCGGGAGCATTACTTTGAGCAAGACCATACATAAGATGCATATCAGCTAATTCATTAAAACTTAAACGATCCATTGATAAATACGGAAAGATTAGATACAACCTAAAAGTAAGGTGTTGTTAAATAATAATTTGAAACTTATTGAAAAGCCGTGATTTACTTACTGATTTTGAATAGGCGTGAAAACAACTGATTTCAAGTAGCCGTGAAAACAACTGATTTTGAATAGCCGTGAAAACAACTGATTTTTTTTTTTAAATAATGTAATCGTATTTACAAATATTGAAAAATTGAAAAAAAATTAAAATTAAAAAAATTAAAAATATTTAAAAATAAAAATTTTTAATTTAAGAAATAATTAAGAAAGAGGGATGCCAAGCGGATTCTAAATTACGATTTTTGAACATAAAAATGGCTATAACTCGGAAACGGCTCATTTCCGGACCTATGTTTGTATGAACTTTTTTGCTTGTTTTTGGGTCCCGAATCACCTCCCGAATTTGATTAAGATATATATATATATATATATATATATATATATATATATAATAAAATAGGGAAATATATATATATATATATATAATATACATATGGCCTTTATTATGTTAACCTTCCCACCAATGCCTCACTCACTCGCGACGTTTCTGAGTGACAAGCT